GCAGTGTTGGCTCAGATAGTTGTAAATATCGTTCCTGACTTTATCGATCTCCTTAGATCTCCACTCGAAGTTCCAAGACAAGTTGCTGAGTATTCCTGTTTAAAGACACATGGTACGCTCAAACACATTGAGGGTGTATGAGACTAACAGCCCCCCAGCTGTCGATGTGTCGTGGTTTCCCCGCCCGAAACTGCACGGGGTTCCTAGTACGGGACCGTGGGAAAGGCTTATTCCTTGCTACACCGCCCAAAATTCACCGCGCGCAAGTTGCATTTCGCCGGCTGCAAGTCTCATACACCCTTCAATGTGTTTGAGCGTACCATGTGTCTTTAAGGTGAGTAGCAAATGCAGAGTTTGCAGCGCTTAGTCATACATGATTGCATGATTTCGAAATCCTTGCTGCAGGATCCCAGAAAGTACTCCCTAGCTATGCAGTGAGAAACTGCTCTCCAACATTGCCTGGGTCCATTGACTGTCAAAAGAGCACCGCGACTGAGCCTTTCAACGTTATTTCTTTTCGCACCAGTTTTCGAACAGAGCAGGCCTCACAGGCATTTGCACACTTGTGTTTCTGGGCATCTCCCAAGCGAATTGTGAGCTAGCAATACCCTCAAATCGTGCTTTGGGCACACATGCACAATTTGAAGGTTTTGCTGGCTCATAATTCGCTGTGAGATGCAGGAAGCAGTTTTGCTTTCCAAACTTGTGAGCAGCATCCCAATCATTTGCAACCTCGTTTCGGATAGGCACCATTTATTTACTCCGTCTAATTCCTCTCTTCCGCGAGCTATTACGATTACTCTTGCAAATCGAGATAAGAAGTTTGCTAAGCTGGAAAAAACAGAGAGAATGTCAATCGTTTTACCGCCTAAGGGGCACTTTCAAGCCCGCTGATTTCATAAGTTTAATCCTCTTTATAAAATCTGCAAATCTTGTAAAGTGCGTAATTGACCAGGCTTCGCTGAGCCGCTCCGATTAGGCCCTCATGGTAAACCCACGAACGTGAGCTTCATTACGTCGCTTTTTAGCTTTCAGGATTTTCAGTCTCAGTCAGTCGAGTTTCAGCTCAAAAACCACACTGCATGGGGATTCCTTATCATCAGCTTCAAAGGCTGAGCCCGCATTTCGCACGAGTTCTCACTCGTTGATATCAGCTGTTTTCCCTTATCACCTCACTCTCACCACTCGACGTGGAGAGAAGCAGCAGCGGAACAACCGCACCATCAGGTAAATTAGGAATGAGTGGAGCGAAAGTGGTGTAGTTGTTGCCTCTGCGGACCTGACTATTGCTCACGAAGGGAGAGGAAAATCTCAACTAAATGCAGACGCTGCCTTTAATTTTAGACCACAACATACGAACGTTCTTACAAGCATTTCAGAATCGCTTCGGAAGAAAGAGATCAGATTCCTCTGCCTATCAACTGAGAGTTGTTCTTTCACAGTGCTGTATTTGACCTCACACCTACCATTCTATAGCTCAAGTTTCT